ATACACAACTTTTTCAGTTCTTAACTAGAAAAATGCAAACTTATACATCAGAAACAAGGTGAAGACATACAGTAAATAAAAGGGACTTACTTTGCAGTAGAACCACTGCCTCTTGTCCATCTGTTTGGGACAGAACAACATAAGAAAGTTATCAAACTGTTATTGGCCCTCAAATGTACTGTATATATTTATATGTCACATATAAAAATTAAAAATACATTAAACATAAAAAAGCCAGTCTCTATTCTGATTCGGCAACAATGTCTTTTATTCAACAATCTCGCAATAATTAAAATATCCAGTATATAAATCCAATACAAAAATATCTTCTCATCACTATCATCTTTAATTTTGCTTTTATTAAAATAACGTGTTAAGGGAATTGTGAAGAATCGGTGGAGACGTGCTCTTTTTGGTGCTTTCTGTGAGAATATATATGAATAATGACAATAGTCTTATTTCAGTTCATGAATATGAAGCCATGATACTCACTTCCGGCCCTGTGGGTCGAGAGAACAGAAGATGACGGTGTTGACAGCGTAGTGTCTCCTGAAGAACAACCTGCAGGAACAGAGACAGTCTGTATGAGCATGTGGATTCAGATCTGTATCTGCACATGTTTGGACATATGTGAACACTCACTTCCTTTGGTTGTCAGTGAGCGTGATCCCCTGTGCCGACACTTTAAAATGGACGACAGTGGATGCTGGCGGAGGGTCCTTGGAGAGCGTAAGGGTGGTCGCCTTCTGAACCGCCTGCTGTCCCGTCAGAGACTCCAGCTCCACAGAGCCCAGGTACCACACGTTACATGCTGCAGTAACACAAACAGACACACATTCATTTTATTCACTGACACAGAACCAAGTTTTATGTGTGTGTCGTAGCTGTTGAAGTTTTAAAACTCATGCAGGTTGTGTGTAAATATTACATGAATGTTCTGCACAGACACACAATTCACACAAACACATATATCTCATCTCTGTATCTCATGTGTATATACGTGGTGTCTTTCTCATACCTGCTCCCTGTTTGAGGAGCTCAGCTGCAGAGTTTGTTGCTGTCTGTGCAGGCGAGTCATTCAGCTCCTCCACTGGGTCTGCAAGAAAAAACACAGACAAGAGTGTACTGACCAGGAAACACACAAAGTGCATCTGCGCACTGTCCAGTTGCCTGCAAACGATGCATTTGTACAAGGCATGCACACACGTGCGCAACCACACTTGCATATAAGGCTGGGAACTGCTTATATATTCAAATTTTTTGGGTTGTTAGCAACATTTTTAATACTAATGATCTCTGATGGGCAACAACAGCAATATTATATAGCTGTCTTATATTATACTTAAAATAACTAGGTGTAAGAAAATGTTATTTCAAAAAAAACCTAAAACTTCTCAAATGCGTTAGTAGTCGTAGTTTAAAAGCACCATAAATAAACTTAAGTTGAAGTTGATAAATTCCTAACACAAGCGCCTGTTCAAGACCTTTGTCTAAAAGAGTATAAAATTAACATCAAGCAATAATTCAATATAGTTCAATGTAAAGAATTGATTTGTCTTTACTTATAATAGAGACCAAATGCAAAAGAATAAAAACATCACCAAGGATTTAGTGGCAATTTGGGAACAATTTCTGATGCTCAAAAGACGACAAAAGGTGATAATTCAGGTTTGATATCCAGCTTTACTTTACTTCTGAAACTGTTTCATGCCTAAAGTACAGACCCTAAAATCATGTCTTAACCTTCAAAAAGCAGTCTCCACCCATGAGATATAAAAACAAGAAACACACACATCCACGGGTTAAGCTACAAGGTAAATTCACACACACACACACACACACACACAGTTTACCTTTGTCAGGCAGGATGAGTTTACAGGGCAGAGCCAGAGGGGTGATGGAGTGCTGACACACCAGAGCTGTGAGACTTCCTGTCAGCAAAATAGGAATATACATGCATGTTGAAGATTTTACAAAAAGCCTCGCTCCCCAGACTGAATGAATTGTGTGAAGAATAAAGGAGCCAGCTGCACCTCACCATACTAAGCAGTAGAGGGTGTCAGAGGAAACGCATTGTAATCCTGGGACACCGTGCTTTAAAAACCTCAGCAGATTAACGGATGGATTTAAGGAAGCAAAAAAGCTCACTGGACTGATTTATAGTGCTGATGACAACAGTTCAAATGTCAGCTCAGCTTTAATGTGTTGTGCTTTATTGCACCAATAGTACAGCAGGCCTGGCCTTGGGTTGATGGACAGCACTAGTCCTTTACTATCACCTTTAGTGTTACTGTTTAGGGGAAATATTGTTCTTTTTACTCTTTAACATTAATCAGTAATGCTTCATTATACAGGTCATTAACTTCCTTACTTATAAAATAACGCACCATTTATCTGACAGCAGCATTAACTACTCCCCTCGCAGTTTTTTAGCCGTTGATACTCCTGGAGCAGCTTCAACATTAGAATACTGCTTAAACAGAGTATAAACAGCAACCGTTTTACTTTTAAATTTTTCACTTGGGTGACAGGCAAGCCAGTGTAATAACCATGTGTACTAGACTGACAAAGTGTATCAGTGTTTTATTCTGCATAATGCTCTGAGAAGGTGATGATTGTACTGTGAGACAAGCGAAGTTTGGAAACCCGTCACAGATTTTGTTACACTACTCATAACGAGCAGGACTTCTTTATGGCAATATTGGATCATCCATCTGATGAACTTGATTTGTCAGGTATTCAATTTACTGGATTAGTCAAAAAGAGACATTGCCAACCCCTTATTTGATCCATAAGTAGTTTCTCAAATGAATTACTAGACAATGTTCAATATCATGATGCCCATGTCCACATAACAATATAAAATTCAATACATTGTGATGCAAGATGTTAACCATCTCAATACTCAACACTGTTTTAGAAACTTTTAGTCTTATATAATGGATAAATCAGCAGCAAAAATGTGAGAAATCATCTAAAACACTCGATAAAGTTTTATTTTCTCACCAAAATACGGCTCGTTGGGGCACCCTTTAAGACGAACTCCTTTCTGTGTGCACTCTATCAGGAAGTGTCTCACCAGCTCACTGGACAGGTCCCCTAGCACAGAGACACAGACAAAAAGTCAGTATATTTTAGTATAGTAGCTTAGTATACAGCATGGAACTTTTAGGAAATTTAAATATGACAAAAAATATATAAAAAAACATTAAATCATCAATATATCAGTTGCTCAGACATTTGTTATTCAGTTGCTCAAAAAATTGATTGCAGAGAAAAAACTTCACAAATCTGCTTTAGTAAATCACACTGTATAACACACAAAACATCACTGAACATATGAATTACTCATATGGTTGCAGTGCTGGACTAACACAGGACTTTGTCAGCTACCTTTCTTACTCTGTTGTAACACAGACGGAGGGGGTGTGGCCACCTTCATGGCCAATCCATATGCCCCACGAAATGAATGACTGTCTCTGACAATGAATGAGCCCGGCTCTTTGTCCTTTAGCATTATGATGGCTGTTCAACAGAGGGAGGAAACACATATAAGCTAAAGTTAGAATCATCATGTTCATATTGTATAAGGTGCAAACACACTTTGCACAAGGGAGTATTATCTGCTTGGAAGTGGCTGCTAGACTCTCCTGTCCAAGACCAATATTTACCTTGGTCTCTGGAAATGTCAGGCTTGTACCAGAACTTGGAGGTGTCCTGAACAAACTTCACAGTGTCCTGCTTACTGCTAAAGTCTGCAAGACACAGATTAAGACTCTATGTTTAGGTTTCAGATTGGCAAAGGCGTAAATATGACAAGACAGCAAATATGACAGCCAAAAGGAAGTGAGACTTGTAAAAGGGCCAGTACACCCAAATGACAAAACATTGTATTATCACTTTATTCATCTCTAACAGTGTGCTGAGATTTTTTGAGATATTCTTGTCTGAAATGTCTGTTCTCACACCAATACATATACTGACGTGAATATAATTCTGTTTGTGGTTCTGAAAGCATACATGTTTAAAAAGTAAATTTAGCAGCAATGTTCCAATTACTATAATCCTTGCTGCAAGCAATTTTCATCAGTTAAATTAGATTATTAACGAAATACAATTTTTATTTTACCCTAAAATGCAAAAACACATTTCTTAAGGTAGCAAAGTAAAATGACTTGTTTTGCCCCTGTGACTGATTGATTATTCTGTGCTCGATCATGAATGTTTTGAGGGACTGACTCAGGTTGAGTGATAAAATATTATATAAACGACACCTCCAACTGTTAGTGATAAAAGTCTGTGAGATGTGGTTGGAAGTTCCTGAAAAAGTGAAATTGGTCAATGCAATTTGTGTTAGCTAACCATTTATAAGAGGCAGATAGATCACAATAAATGTTTTAATGCCACAGAGAGAGACAGAAAGATAAACCTCATGGGACTGGAACAATCTGGGACAGTATACCTGCTCCAGGCGACTGGGCCCCGCTGAGTCCTCTAAGGGGGTCAGGGGTCATGGGGGATGAGAATGGGATGCTGAGACTGCTGCCACTGTGAGGGCTGGAAAATCCACTTAGAGAAGGGGAGCGGGAACCAAGCTCTCCACTCTCACCCACTCTCTTTTTGTCAGGCAGCATTGGAGGGAGGCCCCCGTCTCCCACAAGGTTCAGACTCCCGAGGCCATCCATGGCCTCCAGCAGGCTGTGCTCCAGGCCCCCGTTCCCTAACAACAACGAAGACAAGTCTGTGCTGTCTGTATCACTGCGGGCCCCAAGACCTCCACTCATGCCTCTCAGAGCCCCCCGGGGAGAGCTGTGGGCATTGGGAGTGCTGAGGGAGAGAGGAGGTGAGGGTTGGGGGGGATACGGGGAGTACGGGGAGTTCAGGGAGTTTGGAGTCCGGTCGTGCCACACAGGTGGAGGCGTGGAGCTGCAGAAGAAAAACATGGTCCAGATAATTAATAGTCACGTAAATATTTTCAAATGGAAGCATTCAAACTCTACCTTAGAAGACATTAGAACTAAAAATGTATGAACAGTGAAGTATTTATGAAAGAGCCATATATATTTTTGCGTGTGTTGGGTGCAGAACTCCAGCGGCCAGTAGGACCTGTCTGCTTTGTGTCAAACGTAATTTAAGCAGGGACCTTTGCACAGGTGACAGGGTTTGCTGGATGGAGGGGAGCACCCACTACGCTGGGTGAGCTGTACAGTGTTGAGTGAGAAAGTTAAGGATTCAAAGGATGTTTGTGGACTGCATATTGTAGTATTGTACTTACTTGAGGACACTAGTAGTAGGCAGCTAGATGAGTGCATCAATTAGATGCCTGTCTATGCAACCCCAAGGGCTTTAAGTGTAAACGTACACACTACAACATACATGAAGTATAACAGCCTAACTTAAAAATAAAAGTTATTCCATAAGTTGATATTTTACTTTGCAGTGCAGTAGCAGTAGTGGTTGTACTGAAACTCTGAGGACAGCAAGCTGTTCCAAAGGATTCTCTTTTTGTGTCATAAAGCTATTTTCCTTTGTGCTGCACAGCAATTAAACAGATTTCCTGCAGAAATTCAACCCTCAAGAGTAGTCGGCATGAAAAAGTCGGCTAAAATCAAGGAGGTTCTGCACCTTTTGGATTTTTTGAGTGAGTAATATGATTAATCATATCTTTGTTTGGGTATTTTGTAGAAGCCTAGGAAATCACTTGCTGTCAGTCGTGACTTCAACAAGTAAAAAGACATTCCTAGTGGTCTGCAAAGAGAAGCTTTAAAAATACAAAGACGCAGAGGTGGAAATAGTAGTAATTGAAGGAGTGAACACTTGTTTCTCTGCTATCCCTCTAATTTGGACAAAAGTCTGTAATAACACCTGACTGACAAAGTGTGCCTCCATCAGAGCTACAGGAAACATTTCTTAACACATACATTAGGACTGTATCTGATGTGTCTTGTCAGAAACTGCGAGAGAGAAGATTCCCTCTTTCACATGTTAAGGGTTTGAAACAAAACCACACAGACACCTGAAAATGTTGTCAAATATAAACTTGTCCAGAAGTTTCACATTAATGTCTTAATCAATGACTTCTATTCCAAGAAGGCTGATGCTTTAGGTAGAACATATGCGTACAATTTTGATTTGACAATAATTTATGATATACATGGCATACTAACAAAACTGTTAGCAACATGTGTTCGTACCTGTCTGTGTGTGGGATGGGGCTGTCTGATGACACCGAGCACATGGAACCAAAGATCCTCTGACAGGAAGCAGACGTGACCGACACTCCCTCTGAGGAGCCGCCGGCGTGGTTCATACCGTCCAGGAAACTCCGGGAATCTGACAAAAAAAGATAAAACAATGTCAATCCTCATTTACTACATAGCTCTCAAATTCTAACCAGACATACTGTCTGGTTAGAATTCCCCAGGATGTGACATTGTTCCGTAAACTATAATAACTGCCTACTTATTACTACAAACAGGTACTTATTTGCAAACACAATCCTTGACACCTTATTCTTCCACAGTCTCATGTCAACTTCTATAATCATTAGCATTCTCTCATAATATCAGTACAAAATTGTAGCCCTTTATTCTCATTATCTCTGATTTACTTTCTCCAAAAGTGGCAAAAATCTTCTTGTGAGTGTGTTTGTTTTAGCAAAATAAAAAGATGAAAAATCTAATTTGAATATCCTTCCCATTTCATGAGTTTATATAATTTACATCTAATAATACAGTGTTTTAATGTGTCGTCTCAAAGGCATAAAAGAGGGATTTCCTGTTAGTTTCAGTAATATGGTCAGATGTCACTTCATAAAAACAATAATCCAGTCTGCCTGTATATATGTGTGTCATATGTAGTTTAATTAGAATTTTTACAATGATTTTCTACATTAATCTTTCCTTTGTATTTTTTTGTTTTTGTTTACAAAAATCTGAATTATTAGGAAATAGTTTCACTTACTTGGTGAGAGAGTTAGATAAAAAGATTGATACCACTCTCATGTGTGTACATTAAATACAAAGCTAAAGCCAGCGGTTAGGCTAACTTAGCCTAAAGGCTGAAAGCAGGGGGAAACAGCTTACCTGGCTCTCTCCAAATGTGAAAAATCTCTTGCAAAACACCGCTAAAGCTCACTTAACACTTTGTGTCTTGTGTGGTTACAGATTTTAATAAACATACAATGAGGCCAAGCTAGCTTCCAGTGGTAATGCTAAGTTAGCCTACATGCAGCAGTAGACTACTCTATATCATTAAGGTCATGCCAGTAAAGCAAGTTTCACTGTAAATTTCAGCGTAGCAGAGACTGACAGCGTACAATAGAAGCAGACATGTGTGAGGGCACTCCAAACATCCCGACATGACATCCTGACATTCTGACAACACAGTGTGTCATTCAGCAAACATGAGGGCAGGCCTCCTCAGGCCACAGACAGGCCTGTGAAGTACGATGAGTCACCATGTAAAGAGTCAGTCATTATAAAGAGCTCCTTGTTTCAGGCAGTCTGGCACCCCATACACCCCTTCCTCCCCCCCCCTCCACTCTTCCGCTCCTTCCCTTAATTCAAGTGCTCTGTAATGGAGGATTTTGGCCTCAATGTCCCAGCTTTGTTTGTGATCATACTGGACAAGCTACATCATCTCAAGTGGATTATATAATCACATGTGTGCTGTTGATGAAATTTGACAATGCTCGAGTGTATGCATGATGCACCTGTAACACAAACATACTGTACATACACAATTATAAAGCAGAAGAATTTATAGTACTATCTGAAAGTTTGAAGAGGGACCACTAAGCAGTGCCGGCAAAGTGAACTGTCCTCTCAGTGAGTGAAAGGAAGGGGTGGAAAATACATTTACTCAGTAAGTGCTGTATGTAGTGAAGTTACTTATTACTTGAGTTACATCCTTACTTGAGTATTTCCATTTTTATACTTTTACTGTACTACAGGGGAGAACAGTGTACTTTTTGTTTCACTACATTTATTAAATGCTTTGTATTTGTATAGACAAATACAGAGCATGTGTTGTTAAACTACCCAACAGTTTACAGCATAAAGGAAAGTAGCACCACATTGTCGACTCCTACATTAAAATGTTGTTTCCATGGTCATGCTTGTATTACAACATACTGTTTGCCTGCATAATGCACATAATACACTGAAAGGATGCATTCTACTTGACACGTATGTTTACTTTTGGTATTTAAATACATTTTCAAGAATTTAAAAAAAGGTTCACTTACTAGTATTTTACTGATAACCCCAAAGTGCCCCAGAAGCCCCAAATTCACTGTGTGTAAACTGATTTTTGATAATTTAATTACTTAATTAAACAACTCATTTATTACACAATCATGTAAGTAAAATGTAAATTTCCTCTGTTAGTTTAAGCTTTTACGTGTAATGGAGCAGGTTTACATTGTGGTCTTGCTACTTCATTGAAGTAATGGATCTGCACAACTGGTCAAGGTTTTCGGGTTTAATATGACTTTCCCATGGTGGGATGTCTCCCACACAAATGTATATAGTGTCGACATTATGTATGGTGTATCAGATGTCCATAAGTGAGACCGTACTGGCAGCTGCTGTGAACAGGACTCATTAAACATACTAAAAGTTTAGTTTTGTATGTCCAGTGTCTGTATGTCAGATCATCAATGTGTGTAATGTAACGTTTCTTGCTGTCTAAAGTTAAAGTTCTTTCTGTGCAATACAAACTTCAATGATAACCGAGTTGTCCTTTTGATATTCAAAGAAAGCTGCTTTTAGCTAAAAAAAAACACAAAACAAATAATAATGAACAAATTAGTTTAAATGATCTTGAACGCAACCTGCATAGTGTAGTTCTAAGCTGTCTCCAAAGAGTCACATTTTACAGATGCGAAAGTTTGATGATTATGATTAATAACAGAAATCTCAGACTGTTGCATTTTAAAAGGTTGGCCAACAGTTTCACCTTTATCTAGGATTTTATACTATGGTGTTATATCCAACATGCTTCCAAACATTACTCTTCAGATGGTTTGGTGCTATGTGATACCCCCATAAGGGTCTCTGATATACCTCACAGGCAGTCGCTCAACTTGAACTCTTAGGGGTTAAAGGTCAAGAACACAGAGTAGCTTATGTTGTGTATGCCAATAATTAGACATAAACCTCTCATCACTGACAGAGAGACTTACTCATGCACAGCTCAGAAAATGTAGATAACTAAGGATGTTGTTGCTGATCGAAGAAAATAAACACAAACACAAACTGAGGGGAATGCACTGAGGGCAGCAGGATTCCTCAAACATTCCCACAGTCCCTGTCAGTGAAACTCTCTCGGGATGATTCCCAGAAAGCAGCCGAGCTTCGTCTCACTCTGTTCCCACGGCTGATTCTCCTCGCTGTGGTTTGTCACATCTGCCACTCTGCTGCTCATCCCAGCTCATCCCGTTAATTACAGAACAGCCCAAATTGTGGCAACACCGACTGACCCCATCCTGACCTCTGACCTCAGACCTCAGACCAGACTCTGCTCTGTAGGGCTCCACTGGTCGTTATTAACACACCTTTCACCCCCCTGTATCCACGCTTCACAGTATCCATAGCTACTCATGTGCATGTAGACATGGGTTAATAAAGAAACCCAGAGACAAGACTGAGAGAAAGAACATTCTGTGCCCAGTGTGAAATAGACAGAAGTACATCCTAATACCAAGAATATAAAGGAATCAATCATGAGTATTTGAGTTCAACATATTTTATATTGGACTTGCACTCTCTCTCAAAACAAACGATCTGGTATTGGACCTCAATACTTATAAGTTCCTAAAGCAAATGTGTCCATGGCAATAGCGAAAGCTGGCTTCGAATACAGTATAATCTGAATAAACTAAATTTTCCTTCTTTTTCTTCTGAATCATGAATCACAAGTACTTGGACTTTTTCATTCCTCATGCATTTTTTTATGCACATCAATAGCATTTAGTTTAGTAGACAACCTCTAAAACTTTACAATTTATTGTTTTCTAAAAGTTTGGAGTGCATTTCCCCTTGAGTTTTTTTCAACTGTGTTTTTCTATCCACTGTTTTCTCCTCACTTGTGCAGCTCTGAGTGAACACAAAGACTCTTCAGTGTGGGTCGAACCGTGCAAAACCAATTCCAGATGGCACGGACCCATGTGGGCATGACTGCCAACCTCCACCAGCCAATAGACCTGCCCCCCCGCTCCCCCTGATCACAGTGACGGTTTATGCCTCATGCTAAAACTGAGTGCATTCCTTCATGCTTGCTGTGGAGGTAATCCCATTAATCAATACAACTAGAGGGAGGTTATCTGGAGTAAAATATGTCTCTTCATATTTCGCACCTCTGACCACGCTGGCTGCATAAGCGGGATGGTATGAAAGGCAAAGCAGAGATTTACAGAGAAATGCAAAAAGATGAAACACATACAGCTGTCACATGTTCGGTTTAGCTAAAGAGTTTGTGTATTGTGTTGTGACAAAAAAAGTTCTCCTTGTCTTTCTTTATCTCTTCCACTCACGCATCCAAACATTTAGCAGCTTCGCAGTAGACAGTAGGGTGAGCCTACACACATGCATAAGTACAATGATGCACATAGAGTTATGCAGGACAATAGTGGGTTTGCAAACTCCCTGCTGACCACAGGAATGTGAGTGCACATTGTATGCACACACACACACACACACACATACACACACACAGACTGAGGCTGATAGGTCTGAAGGTCCACGGCATGTTACAGCTGTTCACAGACTGCAGCTTCTCAGGGCTATGACGGGAAATGTAACGAAAAGACAGCTGCTGTGATCCTGAGGCCAGCTGAAAGTCTATTATATTGAGCAATAATTAAAAAGCCAAAAAAGACCCTGTGAGGGGCAGATCATGCTGAACTCTGATGGTCTGATAATACCTGCTAACTTACTGTATTAGATTCTGAGAGGGAGCTTAATTCACAGCTCTGTGAACTTGCTTGATTGGATGATTTATCAAGTTGACGCCAGACATGATGAACTGACTACGACTACAAAGATTTTGGAATGTTTGATATTTTAAAATCAGATATTAAGAATTAAAAAGAAGAAAAATAACCCCGTGACCTGACCCCGGATAAGTGGATGAAGATGGATGGAAAGAGGAAAAATACTACATTTCCAGGATTAGGGAAGTTTGAGTAACAAACTTTGAGGACGACTGTAGGAAGTTGAGAACAATATTATTAGGCATAGCAGTAAAGAGGAGGTGTCAAACCTTCCACTCAGTTCACCTTTTTGCAAATTTCAGGTGTGTAAAGCCAGTGCATAATGGAGACACCTTCA